CTGAGTAGGTAGCAGAGACCCTTTAAAACCATGGCATTGAGCACTGACTGGTTCCTTGATGTCATGGCTCTGAGAGATTTGGTTCCTAGAGTGAGCCTGGGAGAGATTATCTGAGTAGTGTTCAAGCTCCTTGAAATAATGTCATTGATAAAACAACAAAATATCTCTGTAACAGTCAGGCATGCAATAATTCATCTCGGCAGACATGGCTGGCCTTCACAGGCTGGTGCTCCATGAGCACAGCCATGGCAGCAGGCTTCCCTTCCTGTGGAGTCCTGCTTCTCCGTGGCCAGCAGAGCCTCTGGGCATCCCTGCGTTATGGAAGGACACAAAGCTGGACACTACTTTGTCTTTATTTTATTTTTAAATTTTTAAAAACTTCTTGTTGTGAATTAGGGGAAGGTTTACAGAGCAAGTCATTGGCTTTACCGTCAACAAGTCATGCAGCTTCCCCTCGCGTGGCCCTGTGTCCACGACCTTTTGCTCATCTTTCTCTTGCTGAATACTGTCTTCCCCTCGTGCAAGTCCACGCCTGTCTTTCCTTCATTCTGTGACTTTCTCTTCTTCTCCTTCCCTTCCCACCCTCAGAAACCACCAACATCTGTTTCTTTTAGTGTGAAAACCTTTGATTGATTTTTTTCTAACAATGGGGCTGATTTTACTGAGCATACTGCCCTCCAGGTTTAGCCATGTCATGAGCCGTTTCACAGACTCGTCGCTACTCCGTCACACTGAGCAGTATTGCATTGTGTGCATGTCACAATGTTGATTTATCCATTCTTCTACTGAGGGGCATTTAGGTTGCTTGCATCTTTTTGCTATTATAAAGAGTGCTGCAATGAACCTGGGTATGCATGCATTTACTCATGTCTAGTTCTTATTTCTTTAGGGTCTGTGCCAAGTGGAAGTACTGCTGGGGCATACGGTATTTCTATTCCCAGCTTGCTGGAGGAGGCACTACACCACTGTAGCACTGTATAGGTCTGCAGTCCTACCAGCAGTGTGTGAGGGTTCTCGTTGCTCCACATCCTCTCCAGTATTTATTATTTTCTGTTTGTTTGTTTTTAACTTACTACCATGTAAATGGGATAAGTGGTATCTTGATGCTCTTCTGATTTGCATCTCTCAGATGGTTAATGGCCACCAGCATTTCTTCATGTGTTTGCTGGCCCCTGAATGTCTTCTTTGGTGGAAGCTCTGTTCACATACTCTGCCCTTTTTTTTAATTTTATGGTATTATTTGTCATTTTCTTGTTGCGTTGCTGAAGTTTTCTAGAGATTTTGTGGATAAGTCTCTTGTCATTGCGATCTTCCCCGGTCTGTGGGTTCTCTTTTAACTCTTTTGGTGATGTCTTTTGATGCACATAAATGGACACTGTCTCTTTAAATAGTAGAGGTTCAGAGCTCTCAGGCCACCATGACATATCCTAGCATTGGACCAGCCCCTGAATAAACTGGAAAGTCGCCCAACTTGAACTCAGTAACAGGGAGCAGCACCAGGGGAACATCTGGGGAGCCCTGTTGGAAGCAGCAGGACTCAGAGAGCTCTCCAGCCCAGCTGCAGGTCCCTCTGCTACCCTGTGGGGAGGGGTTGCCTTCGCATCCCTTGCACTTGACTGCCAAGAAATCACCGTAGAGGAAGGGGTTACACTTGCTGCTTTGTCTGGTGAGTTTTATTGGCAAACAAGGCTTCTTCGTCGTGTGTGCTTATGATTTACAGAGTTACTTGATTCCCCACCCTTGCAAACTGCAACTAGATCAGCCTGCAGTCAAGATGGTACGTTTGTGTTGCAATTGGTTGAAGAAGCCAGGTATATAGATACTCTGGGCATGGGAGGGAAGAAGGGCGTTAGCACTTTTCTGAGTTTCAAGAAAACCAGACATCTCCAGTTTCAAAGGGAGAAACGGGTTCAGAGATCTGCTGGGACACAGACCTCTGTGCACCCAGGTGCTCCCTTTCCTCTGTAGGACATAGTGAGGGCGCTCCAGCTGCAGCCAAGGCCCAGCTGGAGTCCTGGGCATGGCAACCCTGTTCCCAGACTAGCTGATCTTCTGCCACCAGGGTGGGAGGTGGGAGGCAGGCCACAGTGAGGGGGACACATGGTTCACACATCCAGCAGCTTGTTCAGCAGTTTACTGTGTGGCTGGGACCTGCGTAGGTTGGGCTTCAAAAAACAAAGGGAAACCCAAACTGTGTCTTACTGTTCTGTTTGCATAGCTATTTTATTTTTAAACAGTTTACTTGACAAAAAGAAAGAGGAAGGAGGAAGAGAGGAGCCCGGGCAAATACGCTAATATTTGTAGTGCTCACATAAATGTGGACTGACGATGTAAGTGAACCAGGATGGCATCCAACCAGGCCACGAGTCCTAGGGCAGATCCGACCCATGCAATGACCAGAGGGGGAGAGCAAACACTTTTCTAATCCCTTCAGCTGGCCATCTGACTTGTGTATGTGCTTCGAACCTCTAGGGATGATGTGCTTATATCCTGTAGTTGAGTACAGGGGTGGCACAGCCTGCCTTGAAGAGCTATTGTAAGGGTTACACGAGAGGATGATAATAAAAATAGCGAAAACTGCCTTGACACTTGTCTCCCTATATCCCAGACACCGTGCTGGCTGCTAACTTTGCCTTGAAATGATCACCATGACCCTTTAGAGTGGGCATCATTAGTTCCTTTTACACATAAGAAAACGGAAGCTTGATGAATTTAGCGTAGTGGTTATGGGTTGGGCTACTGCTGCAAAGTTAATAGTTTGAAACCACTAGCCCCTCCCAGGGAGAAAGGGAAGCTTTCTACTCCTGTAAAGAGTTATAGCCCTGGGAACTCATGGGGAGGGGGGGAGGGATTCTCTCCTATCCTAGTGGGTTGTTATGAGTGGGAATCGATTTGATAACAGTGAATGTGTGTGGCCCACATTCACATGGTTCCTAAATCACACCATTGGATTTGTCTGAGTACAAACACAGTGCCTAGCCACTGTACCACACTGCCTCTCAAAATCCACTGATGGGAGGCACCAAGTTAAAAACCGGAAATCAAAAAACTCACTGCCATGGAGTTGTCAGACTCATGGTGACCCTATAGGACAGGGTAGGGTTGCACCTGTGGGTTTCCAAGACTGTAAATCTTACAGAAGCAGGACACCTTCTGAGGCATTAACGCTTGACTAGAGTAGAAGCCTTTTTCTTTCAGAGAGCCTGGAGGTCCTGAAAGCTGTCTTTGAAGTTAGCAGCCCAAGACTGAACCACTCTGGGTCCAGCAAAATAATGGGGAGCTAATAAAACCTTCATGTGTGATTTTTCTTTTCAAGCTGATCATGTGAGCTTTCAGAAGACTGAATTGTGTTTGAAGCATCTTATAGATAACTTAATTTTGATAGCGTACGATATGAAATTAATGAAAATAGTCGAGAGAGCGGAAGAGAAAGAGGAATCTCATTTATAGGCAGAGGCGATTAATCCCCACATTAGACTCCTTGTTCAGCACACCGGCCTTAAGACTGAAAGGGCGAGCCCCTGCTTCTAACGTTGGGTGGATCAGCTGATTCCTCTGGCTGCTCTCCCTCTCCTTCACGTGGCCAAGCCGCCTCCCCGTGGCCAGAGAGGACAGCCACGCCTGGGAGTTAGGCCAGGCTGTGCAGGCAAACTTTGCCTGGGGGCACACATGGTTGTGGTGTGGTTTCACCCAAGCTGCTAGGAGCCAGATTTCAAGTTATGCGGCTAGCTCTGAGTTGCACAGGCGCCCCCC